AGTGAGAACCCTATGGTCTAAAATGGTGGCCATTCTAGAAATGTCTGTAGCCCCATTATTATTCTAACCAAGGACACAAATAATACGGTAAGGCTATCATAGTGTTGAACGACGCTATCGAAAGGCGGTGACTAATCTCACTTGTCAAGGTTATTTACTGACAACCTGGTGTGACACATGGGTGCTTGCTGTAGGCAAGTTCACTAGACAGACCCACCAAAGGATTCCATGTAGATGGTAACCCTAGTGTCTATGGAATAAATCCTCTAACGAATGGTGGTGCATGTGATCCTTAGACTTGAGATCATTGGAACGCCTTGTGCATTGATTGGTGTAGTTTGACACTAGTCTAACGTAGTACTATTCAAAGCTATCAATACGGTAGTGATTGGCTGCATAGAGAAGTGTATCAAGACTCTAGTGGATCAACAAAGGATTCATCACTCCTGGGTACGGGAGAAGTTATCTCATGGCGCAATTCAGTGAATGGCAATGACACTAAAGCTATGGCCACAGTGGGATTGAGTTGTTGCTCAATCCAATTTATTATTCTGGTCATTGGTCCAATAACTGAATACAAAGATATTGAAGAGAACTGAGGTTGACACTATTTTTGTACCTCAGCCTCAATGAGATAACAGATGATGAAAGGATCGGTTTGCACGGTAACCATATCATTGATGGGAAGCTGTTTTATTGAATCCAAATCTATCGGGTGGCCATGATGCCTTGCTAGAGGCCAATCTTGGTTTGTGTTTAGTGAGACGATTGATTGGTATCAATTGTGAGACTACTCACTGTCGATATGATGAGGAGCCTTCGGGTCACACACATAGAAGACAGATTAAGGATGAATTGGTGAGAAAGGGTATTTTCGTCATTTGTGATGAAAGGGCATTTTCATCATTTATGATGGAAAGGATATTTTCATCTTTTGCGATGAAAGGGCATTTTGGTAATCTCACAGTGCAATTAAATTTGTTGAGGTCGTTGCCTATATTTAATTTCATATTGAAATTAAAATTAGCGAGATTATGTATTTAAATATATTCATATATTTAAATATTATATATATATATATATTATTTAATATTAATATTTGATGATATTAATATTAGTGAAGATAATATATATGAAATATGAAATTCAAATTTGAATTTAAATATATATTTAATATTAATATTTGATGATATTAATAAAGATAATATGTGAATATGAAAATCATATTTGAATTTGAATAAGATGCCATGTGGATTATTACCTTGTTTGGTAATGAGGATTTACTATTCTAGTCATAGAATAAATTTATTCCTAACTAGATTAGGGTTTTAATTTTTGTTGCATATAAAAAGGCAACTTAAATTTAGAATAAAAAGGGAGAACACATTAAACAAATCCAACCCACTCACCTCACTCTCTCTCATGTTTTTCACTTGGTGGAGAGGGAATTTTTCTTGTTGTCTTGCTAGCACTTGAGACCGCAAGTCGATCACTATCCTGTCTTTGTGGGGATACTGAGAGTTCACTCTTATCTTAGAGTGGGAGTGATTCGTATCGATTGAAGGAGCCTCCAAACGTTGGTATGAAATCTAGAAATTTTATATTCAATATCGTTTCATATGTAAATAACGTAAATCGGGTATAAGGTTCTTGGGTTCAATGTTGTTGTTGGGGATTTTTTTTTTTTTTCCACTGCGTAAACCCCATGAGCGACTAACAAATGCTAAGCTAGTTTCTTCCACAGAATCGCCACCTAAGCTTGAGTTGAAACCATGACCACCTACCTTGAGTATGCATATTTAGGAGAAAATAAAACTCTTCCAGTGATTATAGCTTCGGGTCTTACCTTAGAGAAAAGGAGAAATTACTTAGGGTGTTGAGTGAGCATTGAGCAGCCATGGGTTGGACAATAGTTGATATCACAGGAATTAGCCATACAATGTGTATGCATAGGATTTTGTTAGAGGAGGAGACAAAACCATCTAGGGAGACTTAAAGGAGATTGAATCCACATTTGAAAGAGGTGGTTAGGGATGAGGTGTTGAAATTACTTGACGCTGGGATTATTTATCCTATTTTCGATAGTAAGTGGGTGAGTCCAATCCATGTGGTATCTAAAAGGTCTGGCATTATAGTGGTAAGAAATTCTGATAATGAGTTAGTGCCAACTAGGATGACTACAGGTTGGAGGGTTTGTATCGATTATAGGAAGTTGAAGACTGCCACGAAAAAGGGTCATTTTCCTCTTCCTTTCATTGATCAAATGCTTGAGTGATTGGCTGGTCATTCTTAATATTGTTTTCTTGATGGCTTTTTAGGTTACAATCAGATTCCCATTGCTCCAAGGAATCAAGAAAAGACGACATTCACATGTCCGTTTGAAAATTTTTCGTATAGGAGGATGCCATTTGGATTATGCAATGCCCCAGCCACATTTCAAAGGTGTATGATGTCCATTTTTTTGATATGATTGAAAAATTTATTGAGGCATTTATGGATGATTTTTCTGTGTTGGATCTTCATTTGATAACTGCCTTAGTAATTTAACCTTAGTCTTGAAAAGATGCATAGAAACAACTTAACTTTGAGTTGGGAGAAGAGCCATTTCATGGTAAAGCAAGGAACTATTTTAGGACATGTAGTTTCTAGTAAAGGTATTGAAGTAGATAAGGCTAAAATTGATTTGATTGCTAAATTGCCGCCACCCACTTTTGTGAAAGGTGTGCATAGTTTTCTTGGTCATTCGAGTTTCTATAGGCGATTTATAAAGGATTTTTCAAAAATTAGTAATCCTTTGTGTAACCCCCTAGCTAAGGAAGCGACATTTGATTTAAATGATGAGTGCCTAAGGAAGCAACATTTGATTGAAATGATGAGTGCCTTAATGCTTTTAATACTTTGAAAGAAAAATTAACATCAACTTCTATTCTTATGTCACCTAATTGTTCGCTTCCATTTGAGTTGATGTGTGATGCTTCTGACTATGCTTTAGGTGCAATTTTGGGATAGCGTGTAGGTAAGCTACATCATGTTATTCATTATGCTAGTCGGACTTTGAATGATGCACAAATAAATTACTCCACCATTGAGAAAGAATTTTTGGCTGTAGTGTTTGCTTTAGAGAAATTTCGTTCTTTTTTTATATGCTCTAGAGTAATTATTTATTGTCATCATGCTGCTTTGAAATATCTGTTGACTAAAAAGGATGCTAAGTCTAGGTTGATTAGATGGATATTATTATTGCAAGAATTTGATTTGATAATCAAGGATAAAAAGAGAGGCAAAAATATGGTGGATGATCACTTGTCTCGTCTTGCAGAGACAATAGACCATGAAGAACGTAATCAAGAAAGGGATTATCCCCTCAACAAAGCCTTTCCTAATCAACAACTCTTTTCCATCCATGGAAAAGAGCCCTAGTATGCTGATATTGTTAATTATCTTGCTAGTGGTATTATTAGAACTGATTTGACTTTTCAAGAAAAGAAGAGATTCTTATCCATGGCGAAGCTTTATTTTTGGGATGAGCCTTATTTGTTCAAGCATTGTCCGGATCAGATAATAAGGTGTTGTGTTCCAGAATTTGAGCAGTAGATTGTTTTAAAGCACAGTCATGAGCTACATTGTGGCCGGAGGGCACTTTGGTGGAAAGAAAACAACACTTAAGGTATTGCAATCCAGTTTTTATTGGCCAACATTGTTTAAAGATGCTTTTGCCTTTTGTGCTAGGTGTGATAAATGCCAAAGATCAGGCAATATAAGCAAGAGGAATGAGATGCCACTCACCACTAATTTGGTGGTGGAATTGTTCGATGTATGGGGTATAGATTTCATGGGTCCCTTTCCGAATTCGTTTGGTTATACTTACATACTTGTTTTTGTAGAATATGTTTTTAAATGGATTAAGGCAATTACCACAAAAACTAACGATAGTAAGGTTGTGCTTAGTTTTTTGAAGGATATGATTTTCACAAGGTATGGTACCCCTAGAGCTATTATTAGTGATGGGGGTAGTCATTGTTGTAATAAGTCTTTTGCAACTTTGTTGAAGAAGTACAACGTTACGTATAAAGTGGCAACTCCTTATATTCTTCGAACTTTTGGGCAAGTGGAAGTGAGTAATAAGTAGATAAAGGCAATTTTGGAGAGGACGGTGACCATGTCTAGGAAGGATTGGGCATTGAAATTGAACGATGCTTTGTGGACTTACAGAACTGCATTTAAAACTCCAATTGGAATGAGTCCTTACAGGCTAGTTTTTGGAAAGGCATGTCACTTACCAATGGAATTGGAGCATAGAGCATATTGGGTAATTAAGTAGTTAAATTTTGACATGGATAAAGTTAGAGAAACGAGGAAGATATAATTAAATGATTTGGAGGAGTTTAGGAATGAAGTGTATGAGAATGCAAAAATCTACCAAGAAAGAACAAAGCTCTACCACGACAAGGCAATACAACACAAAGAATTCCAACTAGGTATGAATATACTGCTTTATGACTCACGTTTGCGCCTTTTTCCAGGAAAATTGAAGTCTCGGTGGCTAGGACCATTCAAAGTGCATTAAGTGTTTCCTCATGGGGCAGTGGAGATAGAGAATTTAAAGAATAAAGGAAGATTCAAAGTGAATGGGCATCGCTTGAAGCCATACTTAGAAAGCCTTCCTCTAGTTGAAGTGGTGGACTACATGAATATGAGGGATCCATAGATCGTGCACTCCATCTAGCCTATACATTAAATAAAGTGTTTCTTGGGAGGCAACCAAAGTTCTCATTATTTTAATTTCTTATTTGTGTTTTATTTCAATTTTTTTTTTCTCTTTTTGCATTATTTATCATGCTATTTCTAACTTAAAGGTGTGTTTGTGTTGTTTTGCCAAAAAGGGGGGGCTGGAGCGAAAAATTTCGTGTTTGTGCCTAGGCATTCCTTCTTCTGGAATTTTAAACTTAAGGTTGCAGAAAATGTGTCGTGGCATTGTGCTGTAGCATTTGGCATTCTGGAATTTTTACAAAATTCCTACACAAACAATGCCGTGGCATTATGCCACAGCACACTCACGAAATAAAATATCTGGGTTTTAAAACCCAACGGTCGCATCATGTCTCCTTCATCTTTCAACTCTCTTTCACTCGAACTTCCTTCCTTTTTCTCTGAACACCTCGATACCCCAATCAATCATCGTTCTAAGCACTTTTCTAACACAATTAATTCGTCTTTTAATCTTTTTTTTTTTTTTTTTTTTTTTTTTTCGCTAGGATTTACAACACAAAACTCGTGAATTCATCACTCGGTGGAGTTAGGGGTTGCGAATTGGGGAGTTTGACATTAAAGGCAAATTCGTGAGATTCTTGTGTGAGAGAGATTCAAACCAACACAAGTAAGCATCTTTACACTTCATTATGACGAATTGAGATTGTTTGTGGTTGAATTTGTCAAATTGTGTTATGGGTTTTGGTGCAACTTTGTGATTTTGAGAGATTATTGTGTGGATTTTGCAAAACTTTGATTGTGTGAAGCATTGGGTGATAGATTGGTTTTTACAGTCGATAATTTCAATCTTATGTGAAACATTGGGGACAATGTAGATATTAGGTTGGGGGTGAGGGAATTGTCCCTAGTTATTTTATTTTTTACTTTTTAGTTATGAATATGGGTAAGGTTCTTTTTTTTTTTTTTTTTTTTAAGTTTTTTCATGTCTTTAGGATTAAATTGTTTAGTTTTTCCAATCAATTTGTATGTCAATGATATGATGATAATTGTGATAACATGTAATGTTTAGAAGACATTAAATGTTGCTTAGTTTTAAGGGTAATTTTGAATAATTAGTTTCATCTAGTTTGAGACTCTCTTGCTATGTGGTATGATTTGGTTGGTTAGTCTTATGGCTTAAGTGATGGTTTTTATGTGTGAATTTCCATAGATATTTTATAGATCTCAACAAATGCTAGAACTCACTTGACAACTACTCGAGACAAAATCCTAGAATGTGCATTACTTAGGAAAGGATTTAGGCTATCTTTAGATCGTTTGAGCCTTTCAAGCCAACCCTTTATTTAAATTATCACTAGTTACCCCTTTAAGCCATTATGAAACACATTTAGCCTTGAATTTCTTTCATATAACCCACATTAACCCACCATTATTTTGAGCCGAAAACACATTCCTACCCTTTAATTTTAAGAGATTTAATTTAAGTACAAGATTGGTGAGAGCAATTAGAGAAGTGAGGGTGAAAGTTTGCGGAAATTTTCAACCTATTCCAAAATTTTTCAAAAGAATAGGTTGGGGGATATGGAGTGCTTTTCAATCAAGGTGTGGGGTAGCCTTTTCAGCTTTCTTTACTTTCTTCCAAATGAAAAAAAAAAAAAAAAGAACACTGCTATTGTAAAAATATTATGGCAATAGAAAAAAATGATAAAGAAAGAAAAAGAGAGAAGAAGGAAAGAAAGAAAAAGGGAAACCTATAGAGAAACATTGCAAAGTGTGAATGATGCAATAAAAGTATTTGCGATGAAGGGTGGAAAAGTTGGGTGTCAAGGAGAATGCCCTAATGATTACATATAAGTGTTTGAAAGAAATATGATTGAGTCTCTTATTTTTGCTTATTCTTTTTGTTCTTTCATAGCCGCATAACCTAGCATAACGTTACAAGCTTAATAAAGACCTACTGATCCGAGATAGTGTGATCATTCTACATTAGTGAAGAGTAGTTTGAAAAGTGAGCCTATGAAATTTGATTCTATTCATTAAATTTTATTATTCAACTTTGAGATCAATTCTTTGTTTTTGAAGTTTGTGCATGCGATTATTCGGGTCTTGAGATTAACGGGTTTGTGGAACAATTGATTTGTGAGAGTTGATAATGAAAATGAAATTGATTTTTGATTATCTTCAGGCTTGGGTGATGTTTAACTATTCTTTATGTTATGTGTTGTATGCAATTTTTGAGACGAATGTATATTCGGAAACTAATGTTTTGTTTTGTTTTTTTGTTTGTTTTAATTTTCAAGTCTAGGATAGGTTTAGTTTGGATATTTGTGGGTATCATCACTGGAAACCTTCACGAGACTATAACTTGTCCAACTAGGGCTGCCTAGGGGTTTAAAGGCTTATTGCATATGCTAAATGCAATCGTGTCAACCTACAGAAGTGGTTTAGGTTAGGTAGGTTAGGTTACTTAGAACTAGATTATATTTAGATCTCTTTGGTTGCTAGGGACTAGCAAGAAGCTAGTTGGGGGTTGTGATGAGTGCTTGAAAGTACACTCATATTACTTAATTTCGGTACTTCTTTTGTTTTCTAGAATCACAGGTATGTTTTATGAATTTTCAGGTATTTAGGTGCTGAAAAATGAGGATTTCAAGCATGCACGTTGAAGAGTAAAGAGACAGAATCATACAGGAGTGAACGTTTCAAGAATCGAAGCTCAAACGAAGAATTTATGAATATTTGAAGATTGTTGCAGCGGAGGATTTTTGTGCCATGGTGTGAATGAACACGCTGCACTAAAATGGGTGTAACTTTACCTACACAACTCCGATTGACTTGATTCTGGTGGCATTTGAAATATACGAGATAAATCTATAATTTTATATTATTTAGTGACCAATTCAACTTAGAATATGGTTAAAAATCGATCCTAAACTTATGTTAGTGTATAAAAGACAAGCAGACATGGGTTCTGGAACATGCCTAAATACTACTACAATAACTTGAGCTAAAGACCTCAGATTTGGATGATTCTTGGACCATTGGAAATATGATTCAAATATATACAATTAATATGATTATGGCTTCATCAGATTTAGAAGTGTTCATGCTAAAAAATGGATGTCTTTCAGTGCACAATTTTCCAGCAGCAACTGTTAAGGAGAAACAGACGGATAACAGGAACTTTACAAAGCTACCATAAATTCCTCAATGCGAACTAGGAGCTGTTCCACATATTTTTAAAGCTTTAGAAGTCTAGTTTATGTAGAATTTTATGGTTTGTTATTCCGAGTTTTGAAGATGAAGATATTCTAGTTTTAGTACCAGAGGGCCAGCATAGGAATTCTAATTCTACAAGGACTCTACTTAAATTAATCAGAATTTTATTCTCCTATTTTGTACAGGATTTTCCCCGTTACTTTCCGACAACCCTAGATCTATAAAAGAATGTCTTTAAGTATATTTTAGGAAGACTTCAACTTTGAGAGAAGCAAGGAGAGGAGATCTTACCTAGGGTTTTTCATCTTTTCTCTTGTACTTCATGTTTTTGAAGGGTTTGAGATTTCATTTCCTTATGATCATGTGTAGCTAAATACTTGTCTAGGGATCCAATGTAACCTAACATGAAGGTTTTATGCTTTGATTAATTTTATTATTCTATTGATTCAATATATTTCTAGTTTCATTCATTGCACTTAATTCGATCTTCATGTTTTGTATGAAATAAGTATGGTAAATATCATATGCTAACTTTGAAATACAAAACAATTGATTTTTTGAGACAAGGTAAAGTAAACATCATATGCAAACCTTGAATAGCTCTTTTGAATGATTGGATTGTGTTGAGGCAAACATCAGGCTAGATACAATTTGGTTCATATTTTTAGTACTTCTTGTTCTTAATGGGTTCTTTATTTTTAGGCTTTATTAAACATCCTAGTGAGTTTAATGGTTAAGAATACTTGGTTAAACTCGAACATCAAATGGTAATATCATAATGATGGAAGACTGAACCCTAGGAATTTGATTGAGAAAACAATAAATTAGTTATTAGCAAAGAATCAGATTGTTATGGTGAAATCAAATACCTAGGTTTTTCTTGCATTGGTTTTCAGTTAATTTTTAATTGTGTTATTTAATTCAGTTGGTTAAAAATTTATTTTGCTTCCTTTAGTAATTAGTTTAATATCTTCTTTTTGAATTTTTTTTATTTTATTTGTTTAATTAAGGCATAGTATATTAGGATTAATTTAGTGGTTACAAATCTTAGTGGGATCGACCCTTGCTTTTGCACACTACACTGTGATATCAATTCATGCACTTGTGAGGAATTAAAATTGTTCACCATGACGCTGCATCAGATCTAGACTCCGTTAAATGGCTTGAGGCCATGAAATCCGAAATGGACTCCATGGACCAGAACCGAGTATGGACACTGATGGATTTACCCGATGGGATAAAACCCATAGGATGTAACTGGGTCTTCAAGAAGAAGACATGCATGGAACCTCTATTGTTCTTGATTGGGCAATACACGCTTCTAGAGGTAGTTATGGAATGTTCTTTTCAATGACCTCTATTGCTAGTTTATCCACCGCATCAACACTAAAGCATGAATCCGACTCAGATGGAAACTTCATAGCTTCAAACACATTGAACGTTACTGTTTCATCTTGAACTCTTAACAGCAACTTTCCTTCTTGCACATCAATGAGTGCTCTTCCCGTGGCCAAAAATGGTCGCCCCAAAATAAGAGGCATTTCCTTATCCTCCTCCATGTCCAATACAACAAAATCTGCCGGAAAGATAATCTTGTCCACCTTTACTAACACATCTTCAACTATACCCCGTGGATGTTTTATGGACATATCTGCAAGTTGTAACGACATGGTCATTGGCTTCACTTCACCAATTCCCAATCTCCTGAAAACAGAAAAAGGCATTAAATTGATGCTAGCACTTAGATCACATAAAACTCGATTAAAAGTAATATCTCCTATAATGCAAGGAATAATAAAACCCCTGGATCTTCGAGTTTCGGGGGTAGCTTCTTCTGAAGAATGGCATTGCACTCCTCCGTGAGCATCATTGTTTCCTCATCCTCTAACTTCCTTTTGTTGGATAAAACCTCCTTCAGAAATTTTGCGTAGCTCGGCATCTGTTGCAATGTATCTGCAAAAGGAATGTTAATATGCAATTTTCTAAATATTTCAATGAATTTGGAAAACTACTTATCCTGATTCTTTTTCTTTAGTCTTTGAGGAAACGGCACAGGAGGAGTGTGATGTGCCAATTCTGGTGGTATCTTGGGAAATGGCAATTTCTCTTTCCTTTGTCTTTACCTCACTTCCCGTTTCTGTTCTTCTTCCCTATAACTAGATGGGTTCTCTTCAGCAACTATCTCTTTATCAACCTCCTCATCAGAGTCTTCCTTTTTCTCTCCCTTTCATGGACTTTCTTCTTCTCTTGATTTTTCCACCTCTTCCAACACTGTCCCACTCCTCAAAATTATTGCGTTTGCTTGCTCACGTGGGTTAGTCACTGTGTTGCTTGGTAAAGAGCCCTGTGGTCTCTCATTTAGCTTTTCAGCCAATTGACCCATCTGCACCTCTAGATTTCGAATGGACGCCCCTTGATTTCCAAAACTCATCCTCGTCTCATTCATAAAACCTGTGGTCTCTTGCATAAATTTCCCAAACATGTCCTCCAATTTTGTCACTCTTGGGTCTCTTGGTTGATTATTCACCCCTGTTTGGTTAGTTGGCAATGCTCTTTGGTTCCATTGATTGTTTTGCTGGTTCTGATTGCCCCAAGATAGATTTGGATGATTCCTCCAACCCGGATTATATGTGTTGGAATAGGGATTATTTGGTTGCCTCTGATTTCCTGCCAAGTAGTTAACCTGCTCCGATGATGATGATGATGAAGCAAATGTGTTCCCCACTTGATACTCACTGCTCACGTGATTACCTGCACAAAAATCACAAGTCAGTTGAAGAGCTTGAATAGAGTTTACCTGCATATTTCCCAATTGTTTCTGAAGTGCTGTGAGTTGGGCTGAAATGGCTGTATATGCATCAACTTTATGAAGACCCATAGATTTCTTCGGTTGCACCCTCTCATTAGGTCTTTGATAATCGTTGCTTGCCAGAACTTCAAGCAACTCATGAGCTTCTTCCGGAGTCTTGTTTTGCAGTGCTCCTCCCAATGCTGCATCCACCATAGTTTGCACATTCACCATCAATCCGTTATAAAATGTTTGGACTTGCATCCAAACTGGCAACCCATGATGTGAACACCTTCTCAGTAATTCTTTGTATCTCTCCCAAGCCTTATACAATGATTCTGACTCTTCTTGTAGAAACGATGTGATATCATTTCTCAGCTTTGTTGATTTTGCTAGACGAAAGAATTTGGTCAAGAACTTATGTGCTAAATCGTTCCATGTTGTGATTGTTTCTATTGGTAATGCCATTAACCATCCCTTAGCTTTATCCTTCAATGAAAATGGGAATGGTCTCAATCTGATGGCGTCATCTGACACTCTGTTTGACTTGAAAGTATCACAAATCTCTAAAAAATTGGCAATGTGTAGATTTGGATCTTCCTTCAAATCTCCCCTGAACTGTACCGACTGTTGGATCATCTGGATGATTGCCGATTTTATCTTAAAGTTGTTGGCTTATACTGCTGGTCTAGTAATACTCGACCCACTGCCATCAACTGAGGGAACTGAAAACTCCCTTAGTGTCCTATTTTCTGCCATCTCTACAACTATGACTTCTGGTTCAATTGTAGCCTCTCTTTCTCTTCTTTCTATGTTAAGTCTTCGAGTGGTTCTTTCAATCTCAGGATCAATAGGAACCACTGGCTGACGTCTTGCTCTTCGCATGAACTACACAAAAAAATAGAAAGAGTGAGATCACAAACCAACCTAAAAGACTAACAAAAATCCTAGTTAGTAAATACGGGTATGGCAAAAAAAGGGTACGGGAATTTTACGGGTATAATACGGCAAACAGTGAAAAATACGTTTATAAAAATTCGGTCATAAAATTCGGATACGGAAAAAATACGATACGGGTATATACGGGTTTAATACGGTATATTATCAATAATACGTTTTGAAAAATACGGCAATATTGATCCTAATTTTGATACTTTTATGGACTAATTATTAATGTATCTCAGCATTGACTTCAATTAAATCTTTTGCTTTTGCTTTTGCCTATGGTAACGTTAATCTTTTCTTTGCCTTAACAAATTCCCAGGCCTATGTCTTGTTCTATCCCACCCCATGTCTTGTTCTATCCCACCAATAGAAAAAATATATATATATATTTTTGTTTATGCAATAGAATTATAAAACATAATCTACAGTTACAGTGTTGAGTGTTGAAATCCACCACAAACACAAATTAAACACCCGTGACCCATCTTCAAAACCCCCCTCCCTCTCTCTTCTTCAATCAAATCATCTCTCAGTGTCTCACGGTCTCACCCACAAAGCCAACTGCTTCTTCCAGAGTTCCAACAATGGCATCTGCTTTACAGGTTATTTTTTCTGCCAATACTTTCCTTTCTTTAAACTTATTCTTCTCCCCCAAACAAAAACACAAACCGTTAAAACCCTCAACCAGTTCGCCTTCCACAAATATTCTTCTCCCCCAAACACAAACACAAACCTGTTAAAATCTCAACCAGTTCGCCGTCCGAGCTGAGGAAGGAGAAGTATTGGCAGAAAAGCTGAAAACGTCGAAGATCTGAGGAAAAAAAGCTGAAAATGTCATCCATCGCAGAAATGAGGAAGGAGAAGAACGAAGAAGAGAGAGATACCGTGTAATTTTGAATAAACCCCCTAAAACGACGTCGTTTTGGGTGAGCAAT